TAATGGTAGAGTTTTATTACAAAAATCTGTTATGTCAGTAGTATCTTAGAATCAAGGAAATTGGACATCTCAGATCTAACTTACTGTGCTTCTACTTGCTCTCCCAATCTGCCATCCTCCCCTTCTCTAGCCTGTACTGCACAGTCCTGCCTGATTAATTCCCTTTAAAGACTTTTTTCATCAAGTCATTTCATAAGGAAGGCATCAATGGTTCCCCATTCCCAGCTATGTAAAGTATGGCTAGGGGATCAAGTTTAGCATTTAAGGCCCCCAGCCTCTTCCCATCCTGACCCCCTTTCTGTCCTTACCAACATTTACCTACCCAGAACTTATTGCCCAGAACACACCCTGCTCTGTTATTACCCAGGATCAGAAGGCTATTTCTTATGCTACTTACATCCTGCTTAGGCTTCAAGGACTATCTTTGTTGTGACATTTCATATGAACACCCTCTCCCCAAATAATCTTATACTAAATTACTATAGCACTTATCTTTTTAAAATATTTTTAAATTTTATTTATTCATACAGAACTGGGGTACAGGCCTGAGGTACAGAGGCGGTGAGAGGCTTCACCAGAGACAAAGTGGCGAGCAGAACAAGCCGACTGACGAAGTACACTGCTGAGGGGAGTAGCGGTCGGGTCAGGAGAGGTCTGCTGGCCATGTGGGTCACCTCTGGGGCAGGTGGGGATCGAACTCATGCTGAAGTGGCTTTAGCTTCTTAGTGCTGCGCTTTAACTCTCTGCGCCACCAGGGAGGGCCCACTATCGCACTTATCTTGACTACTCATTTCAGACAATTATTTACCTGGTCTTTGAATGTTTCTGCCTATGACTGTGAAGTCATGAAGCTGATATTTTACAAGGAAATTGAGAAAATCAGTCATATTAATTATCTGATTGTCATTAATTACTAATTAATTACTTGCATGTCCTATTTCATCAGATATTAAATTCCTGAAAGTTAGCTCTGTAAGTTATACTTGTCTCCCTACAATTCCTTAAGTTGTGATAGATTCAAGAAACAGTCTAATAAGCATTGAGCCAAATGGGGGTGAGGGGGGCAGGGGATCATGTCTCTTATCACAGTTTCATTGCCAACCTACTCCTTTTTCTATGGCTAGTCCAAGTCATTTGTGTTCAACTTTTCACACCTACCCTCCTCTAGCACCCAAGCATAGTATCTTAGAGGTACCACACTATTGCTCAGTCATTATAGTGAGTCAAGTGTGAAAGAGCACAGTGATTTGCAGGTGAAGGGGAAACTTTGTGATGTTATAAGATAAATATGTAGAAGCAGAGTAACTGGAAGCAGCTGAGATGTGGTATCTGGCCCCATCAGCAAGGCTACATGTGGTGCCATTCTAAAGAGGTCAGATTTTCTTTCTCTTCACTTGAGTTGCCAGAGTTTTTAGTCAAAGAAGTGACATGATCCGATTTGCTTAATTCAAGTCATGGAAAATGGATTGGGGAGAAGAAGGGATGCCAGTTAGAAGTAACAGGTGGCAGTAATGGGAAGTAAGAGAGGATACAATCAAATGAACGTGAGCAGAATGGACAGGAGTTGATGGTAGGGGTGAGGGTGAGAGGTGAAGCTGTGAGAGAATGATTGAGGCTTCTGCTTTATACTGGGTGACCGGCAACACTATTGCAATAGTAGAGATAATTCTAGTTTAGTTCTAGATCATTGCTATACAAGAAGTCATATGAACTTTTGTTTCCTAGTGCATATAAAAATTATGTTTACCCTTCCTATTAAGTGTGTAATAGTATTGATAGTATTGTGTGTAAAAACACAGTGTGTATATACCTTAATTTAAAAATATCTTATTACTAACAATGCTATTCATTGGTAAGTTGTGATTTTTTGCTGGTGGAGGGTCTTGCCTTGATGTTGATGTTGCTGATGGATGATGGGCTGGTTACTCAAGTTTGGGGTTGCTCTGGCCACGTCTTAAAATAATAGTTTGCTGTGTCAATTGACTCTTATTATCCCAAAAGATTTCTTAGTAGCATAAAATATTATCTATTTGATAACATTTTACTCACACTTTCAAAATTGAAATCAGTCTTCTCAACACTGCTGCAGCTTTCAACTTCATTTTTATAATATTCTAAACCTCAGTATTTATGGCATCTTCACCAATAGATTCCACTTAAAGGAGATACTTTCTTGCTCATCCAGGAGATGCAGCTCCTTGTCCCTTAGAGTTTCATCATGAGCTTGCCGAAATTTGGTCACACCTTCAGGCTCTACTTCTCATTCTAGTTTTTTTTGCTATTTCCACCACATATGCCACTACTTCTTCCACTGAAGTCTTAAACCCTCAAAGTCATCCATGTGGGCCACATGTGGGAATCAACTTCTAAATTCCTGTGGACATTGATATTTTCACCTCTTTGCATGAATCAGCAATGTACTTAATGGTCTCCAGAATGGTAAATTCTTTCTAGAAAGTTTTTAATGTACTTTACCCAGATTTTTTTAGAGGACCGGTTATCGATGGCAGTTATGCTTCACAAAATGTATTTCTTAAATAGTAACATCTGAAAGTCAAAATGAGAAGGAGGAGGAGGAGAAAGAAAATGCAGGAGGATGCTAGAGCAGTCGTCAAACATACTGCCCTGTGAAAGGATGCTACCAACAGAGACTAGAAGACCACTAAGGACGGGACCCAAGTGGGATCATTATGCTCTCAACCCTGAGAGTGCAAGTGGACACAGTTTGAACTCTGTCAAGTTTTAAAAAAAGGAAAAGAACACTCAAATCTGCCGTTTGGGGTAGCCTCCTCCATGGATGTGCTGAGACCTAGAAAACCTGGCGCAGCTACTACGGCTTAAGGGAATATGGTGACTGAGCTGATCTACCCAGAACACATTGTCCTTATCAGCAATAAGGCTGTTCCACTTTATTTGTCTTTTCACTGCAGTAGCATTTTAATTTCCTTCAGGAACTTTCTCTTTGCTTTCACAGCTGGTCTGTGAACAGTTTAGTACAAGAGGCTCTGCTTTCAATGTGCTGTCTTCACTAAGCTTAATTATTTCTAGTTTTTTATTCAAAGTGAGAGATACGTGACTGCCTTTCACTTGAACACTCAGAGGCCACTTGAGGGTTATTAGCTGGCTGCATTCTAATATTGTTGGGCATCAGGGAACAGGGAGGCTTGAAGACAAGGCCACAGATAGGGAACTGCTGGTGGGTGGAACGCCCTCATCTGGAAACTTTCTTATTCCTGTACTTCCGGATATCCCACCTACCTGTATAAGCACTCTGCTGCTATACTTCCTCAAATCCATACTTTAAAATTTTACTATACTACACTTAAAAAATTCTGTACAGAGCCTTCCTCTCCCGTTGTTTTAGTGGGCTCCTAGCGTGACTCTACCACTTGTGTGGCTTAACAACCATTTTCATTTATTCCTAATTCTGAATCTCTAGCCCAGTCTTCTTCACCCAAACCCAAGTATCCCACTCCTTTCAGGACTTCTTTATTTGGATGTGTTATACAAGTGCTTCAAATAAAACTGCCCAAATAAACTTTTCTTCTGCCTCTTACCTAGACTTTCTTCCATCTAACCCTCAGGGAATGGTGGTGTTATTCTCCCAGTAACCTGGCGGCATTCTTGACAGCTCTCATATTCAGTCTGCCCTGAGACCTGAACAATTTTACATTGTAGAGCATTTGTGAAGAGAACTTGGTGCACTTCAAGATAATGAGAAGGCAATGAGAGAGCATACAGAGATGACTAGCCTGGCTGGAGGTAGGTTTTGTTGGGGAATGCTGGAAAGTATGTTTGGATTAATAAGTGGGAAGAACAATGGAAGGGCCACATAGAGTATTTCAGGGTTGATGTCCTCATAGAACAGCAAACGTCAGGTAGTTTAATGATCACTAAAAGAACAGTCACATAAAAAGTGGAGAGACAAGTCAGAGGCGAGTGAGAGCAACTTTCACCACACAACTAGACACAAATATGTTATAGAAGACACAAGTAAAAAAAAATTAATTAATAAAACTAAGGCATCCTAACAAGAAGCTCAGATAGTCTGACATTGAATTTAAACATAAGTGTAAGAGCTACTAAAAAATAAAAACAAATTCTCATTGATGAAGGAAAATTGAAATCAGTTTAGTGATGCACTAGAAGTAGACTGTTGAGAATAGTTGCATTGACATCATTCAATGGTAGAGTTCTTATTTTAAGTTCTCATAAACCATCACTCAATTATATATGATTTAAATGGAATATTTGTGTATACATATATGTACACATACATACATATATCACACATCTATACAGACGTGTGTGTGTGTATATATATATGTATATATATATATATCTTGTTGGGACTCCTTAGTTTTAATTTTTTTTGTCTGTGTCTTCTATAGATGAATACATATATATATATATATGATTTTTTTAATTGCCAAAATGAAATGTGATTACCTAAAACATCTGGATTTCCCTATGCCTCAATAAAATCTTTAGGTTAAACAACCTACATTTAACAACATATTTACAAGTCGATAAACACGATAATTTCCATTTTCCTTGGTAGACACCTACCTCCCTAGTGTGGTCAGTTAGTCAATAGTTAAATAACTGGGAGAAGTATAAGCCAGACGAGCTCCCTATACCATGTTTCAAAGCAAAAGAAAAATCCAAATAGTTGCAGGAAATACTGCACCTTTTGGAAGTAAGATACATTTATGAAGCAGAAGATTCAAACTATAAAAATGAACTCAATTATCTGATGACAACATCAAACTGAAAGAAAGCATTCATTTTCAGCTCTTTCTTTAGAAATATGGAGACCATGAGCTTAAGCATAGCAAATGTGAAACAAATAGCCACCATAGAAAGACTAACCTGAATTAGCAGTAAAAAAAAAAAAAATGACATTAAAAATGATATAATTAAAATGAAAGCTTTCCACTTTCTTTTTTTCTGATTGTAATTTTAATGATAAAGCTCTACTGAATTGCTAAGTTACTTACGTGAGGTCCTTGAAAGCCTGACTCCCGGTAAGGGTACATGTTGATTTCCATCCTGTAGCTCAAGCTGAAGAGCACAAGCTCTATGTACCTGGCGTTGTTTGAATTAATGAGCAGAGCAGTTGTTGGCTCTCTTTGGTTAGCTGCATCAAGCACTCAGTAATAGGTATCTAAACCCGAGATTAAATCTTCAGCCCCGCCTCTCTGAAAAGAAAAAAAACAGTGACTCTGAATTCTTCCTGTATTTCTGGACAGTAGCTTGAAAGTAGGAAGACACCTGGTGTCTGAAAAGTTTCTCCCTACTTTTGATTTACCATTTTACCTGATGATTTTATTTTCACAAGAGAGAAAAATACTTTTTCTGAGTTTCTTGAAGGTAGAAAGAAAAATCTGCAATTAAAATCTCAATAGTCTTATCCACATTGTTTTCACATATAGGTGCATTCAGAACAGTTATTGATATACTACTTGAAGCAAAAAGTAAATAAAAATATTAAATATGAGGATTTACAGTTCCTTAATAATTATAGACCTCAACATATTTCAACCTTAGTGTCAAGAGAGTGAAAGAAAAATCAATTTGTTGCATTTAATGTAGGCTATTACAATTGAAAAACGTTGTTACATTTTCTAAACGATGGACCTTGCACTTTTGGTGAACTTTTACTGTCAAATTATGGCAGATATAGGCTAGTGATCTGTTTGTCTTCATTTCATTGGTATATGCTCATTTGAACACATCATCAGCCTCGCCTATCTACTATATGACTCTACTTTCGACTTAAGGAAAGCTAAAATAAGGAGTAGTCAGCTTTTAAGAAAACTTTATAGTGCTGTTTTTATAGGATGAGAAGCATATAGACTAGAAGAGGCAATTACATTTACAAAAAATACAGGCTGGTACAAACCAAGGAAGTGAAGTTGATTTTTAAAATGTATGTTTCTCAATTATGTAATATATTAATTTTTAACTTTGGGCTTACATTTTGACTTCTCCATATGTGCACATGCTTCATTCCCCTTCCACCCAACCTCAGATGTCTATCCCCTGAAACTGATTGAAAGAACCTGAGGACCTCCCTGGTGGTCCAGGGTTTAAGTCTCAGTGCTATCACCACTATAACCACAACAGCCTGAGTTCAATCCCCAACCAAAGAGCTGACCCACATGGCACAGCAGACCTCTCCTGACCCACAGCAGAACTCTCTTGACCCACCCGCTGCTCCCCTCAGCAGTGTATTTCAGTAGATCTGCCTGTTTTGCTCCCCACTATGTCTCTGGTGAATCCACTCTGCTCCCCCTCACCTCTGGCCTACACCCTAGTTCTTTTATGCAAAAAACAGAGAAAAATTTAGAAAGAACATGTATAAAAAAGAAATCTTAAGTAAAATATTAGTAAATTAAATCCAACGATCTATAACAAGAATAATACCAACTCACCAAATAAAACTTGCTACTTAGTCCGTGAGAATAGTTTAGTTTTAGAAAACTATGTGTTAGATTCTGAAAAATAATTTCCTCATCCCTTCTTAATAATAAAATAAAACTCTTTCTGTCATGTAGAATATCTCGAAACTTCCTTATCTCACTAAAGAAAAACTACTAACCTCTCTAACAAGCTTCACAAATAATCTTCTCGTGCTACTGCCATCACTATTCACATTGCATCAGTCTCTACCAATGTATCAAGACAAGAAAAATAGATGAAGTATGACTATCAGTAAAAATTAAAGTCATTTATTTTTTTAGAGTGTAGTTATTTTACTTAGTGAGTTAATTACTAAGGTAGCTGAATACAAAATCCTCAATGACAATAAGAAAGTGTTGCAGGAAAAAAAACCCAATCCACAAAATTTATGAAGATAAGAGAATTAGTTTAAGTAAGTGTGCAAGGTTTATTGAAGAAAATTCTAAACTTTACTGAAAGTTTACTGATGCTGCTATCTCAAGATAATCTAGAAATTTAAGACAGTCCTAATGGGAAATTTTACCAGGTTTTTAACCTAACATGACAAGGTGCTTCTCGATTTCCTGGGCAGGAAATATACAAAAATAACTCAAAAAAGGCTAGGTAGAAAAAATAAGGTGGAGACTTCACCTCACCAGGTATAGAAACAATCTATAAAGCAATAGGTATTAAAACAATGCTGTTCTGGAGTTGAATAAGCACATAGATTAATGAAACAGAAAAGAGTTCAGAAACTGACCTATGTATTCATATGAATTTAATATATGCTAAATGAAGAAGGTAGAAAATAAAAGATTTCAAAAAATAGTACTGGGACAATATGAGAGGCACAAGGAAGTAAAGTGAATTCCTGCTTTGTACCATATTCAAAAATAAATCCAGACTGATTTAAGATTTACCATACAGAAGTATTTGGGGAAAAAAAGCAGGGCAATATCTTTATAGTAATGGGGGTGGAAAAGGGTTGGTATCTATAGGAAAATGCAAATTTTATTAAACAATTGTAATACTCCTCACATCAAAAGACTAGGAAATATATTTGTAGCATATACCACACAGGCTTAAGAACTATCATATATAGCACTCCTCTCAATGCATAATAAAAATAAGCAAGCTAATAAGATAAAAGGCAGAGGAGAAAAACAACTCCTAGGAAGAAGAAGTACAAATTTTCCAATAAAGATTTGAAGAGATGCTCAATCTCAGTAGCAATCAGGAAAAACAAACAAGGAGGAATTATTTTTGCCTATCTAGGTTTAAAAGATTGAAAGGATTGATAACATATCATACTGGTGGTAGTGTTGGGGTAGAAAGAACTTTGCCAACTACAACATAAAGGTTACATCCTTTTTGGAGAACAATTTGGTAACGTTTATCAAAATTATTAATATATATTTTCTAATGCTTCAAGTTATCTATCCCACATCTATCCCTACGAATGCATAAAGAGGTACATGTACATTTATAATGATTGTGCTTCTCACTCTCT